TGAGCATGAGATGAGAACACCTATAAATAAATTTTGTATTAATTAAGGTTTCAAGTTCACCTCTCAGAGCAGTAGGTTTTGCAGGTGAATAAATACCTCCATGATATTTGCTGTTTTTCTTTTCCACTGACTCCTTTTCCGTTGGGTGTTTGATGTACTTGTGGACGATGGTAAAAGTGCACTGTCTGGATTTAGCCCTGGCTCTGTCTGATTCATTGCACCATTTTCTGGCAAGCTTTCCTTATCTTTATCTTTATGGATTAAGGATGTTGAGATCCTTTTAAAAGATGGTCCCTTCCCATAAGTATGACATTACAAACTACTTGCCTTTGTTTTCTGAGTTTTTATATTTTTAATTTTTTTAGGTTATGAGAACAATGAAAAATTTTGTAAAGTACTCCTTGTAATTGTTCTTATACTTACTGTCATATCTTCCCAGAAACAGTCCTTCCTTTGGAATAGAAAGGCACTCCATCAAATTCTAATTTCTTGGTATACCATTTTTCTTGTAGCCCTTTTTTAAATGGCTCCTTTTTTGCACAGGCAGACGTTATTCCCTTTGTTGGCATACACAATCGAGGCTTATTTTTTTAATAGGCAAGACCATGCAAGAATCTGAGTCAGTTAAGGATTTTTATAACCAGAAACACCTAAAATGTGGTTTCCTTATCAGGATTCTGTGAAGGAGGAGACATTTTTCTTCAATCCCTTCCTTTGTCCTCTCTTTTCTAGTAGCCCTTTACGTTGTGTTGGCATTTCAGGAACTGGATAACAGGAAAGCTATATGTTTTTACTCATTGGCTTTATTAGCGTAATTGCCAAAGTAGATGTATGCAGTTCTGAGGCCAGTGCTGCTTAGAACATCTTCAGGTAGAGCTATTATTTTTTTCTTGAAACTGGATCCACTTCTGGCAAGATGCTTGTGGTCCCTACTCCTAATTCTAACTCCAATCCATTGATGGTTCTTTTTTTTTTTTTTTCATTTTTCTTTTATTATTCATATGTGTATACAAGGCGCTTGGTTCATTTCTTGAACAAAGAGTTGTTGGTCCAGCCCTACAGGAGGGACAAGCCTGGAGGGTGCCAGCAAGGAGTCTGCTCTGGGACTCCCTACCTTCTGACCTGGAGTGAACGTGGCCAGTCAGACCGGGAGGGAATTTGAATTGTGTGAATCCTGGGGAATGCTTGCTGAAGAGAGATCCCCGAACCCCTTGAGAAAAGCTCAGCATTAGAAAACATCAACTTGCCTGTTTTTCCCATTTCCAAAGGAGCTGAGGATAACCAGAAATTTGGGTCAAGTTCTTTCTATTCCAACATAGGGAGGAGGAGAGATTTTTGTCTGGATTTTCTGGCCTGTGACTACTCTGTGGGTTTGGGGACCACAGATCCGTGCACTGTCTACATTTTCTGGGTTTCAGCCACCTAAGGCAGGAAATAACTAAGCACAAGCAAGCAGATTTTAGAATAAAACTCTATACTTAAAAGGATTCAATCTCAACAAAAAGGGAGAAAGAAACAAAACAACCAGAAAGATTCCTATTAAAATACAATTATTCAAGGAGATAGACAACAGGCTGAGTGAAACTTAATAAAAGCAATTTAAGGAAATCCTAGTAAAGCAATAAAAAGACTTTGAGGAACTAAAAATATGATTTTTTTTTCAAACTAAAGCATTGAACTGGAAAGAATGATGGCTTTTGATACTTGAATTCATCATCAGGACTGAGTGAATGAAAAGCATTTGACCCACACAGAAATAAGTCCTGAATAATGGAGGTCAGGAGACAAAGCAGAGTTGGAGAACACACAGAGGAGACCCAAGGGGAATCCCTCATTCAGGGGGCTGAAAAGGACAAAGGTGAAACCAAAGTTTCATGCACAGGCTATGGAATTTTGTTTGGGAACCACTTTGTGGTTAACATATTCTTTCCTTCACTGTGCTTATATCTTTTGCAAAATCTTTTTTTTTTTGGTGGGGGGAGATTTTTAAAATAAAAACTTTGTATGTGCAGATTCATAGGGCTGTGCAGAATACTGAGGAAAAACATATACCTAGGAATGATCTGATAAGAATGAAAAAAATCACATGGAATCTCACAAATATTGAAAAAGATATAATAGAGCCAGAGATGCAGTAATAATATCCACACAGTGTTAAAAAAATAGGGCTGCAGGAAAGAGGAATCCTGAAACACAAAAAACAACTTAACCCATCAAGATAATTTCCTGTTCCAGACACACTGTATCACACTGTCCACTTTATTTTCTTCATAGCATTATTACTCCCAAAATGCTCATTTGGTTTTTGTTTCTATGTTTGTTATCTGTCTTCTCCTCTGTAATGTTAGCTGTTGCTCTGTGGGGAATTTGCTTCCTGTCTTCTTATCTCTGAAAACATTAAATACTCTGACTAAACAGTCCATTTTAAGGTTTAAGTTTTTGTACAATAATTTCACCAATAGGTAGAATGTTTCCAATTCATAAATAAAAAGAGGCTTTTAAAATATGTCCCATATTAGGTTTTCACCAGAGAACTGAATTTTGAGTATTTACATTTATTTTTGGCTCAAAGGTAAGATTATTTTTAAAGTGCTAGACATTTTATTCAACATTTTAACCTTGTAGAAGAAATGTCAAAAACATTGTCCTAATTATGTTGCTACTAAAGTACATTTCCACTTTCAAAAAAATCACTCCTAAATCAAGAATGGTACCTTTTTCTAAAAATATATGTAATTTTTGAATGTGTAGTCAGATCGATTGATTGATTGATCGATCAATAGATAGATAGTCCCTCTTTATCTATGGAGAATTGGTTCCAGAACCTCTTGCAGATTTGAAAGTTGACAGATGCTGAAGTGCCTTTGCATATAACCTATGTATGTTTGCATGATCTTGAACTCTAAATTACTATGATATCTTATACAATGCAATGTATGTAAATAGTTGCTATATTATATTGTTTAGGGAATAGTAACAAGATTAAAAGTCTGTCCATGTTCAGTAAAGATGCCATTTAAAAAATATTTTAATATTTTTTCTAAGTTTAATATATTTCTAAGTTTGGTTGAATCTGGGAGTGTGGAACCCTTGAATATGGAGAGCTGACTGAGTATGCATCCATTCAAATGAGTGACTGCAGTGATGGTGGTCTAAGGATTTCTTTGGTTCTGTGGACATGGATGAAGTGTGTCCTATGAAACACGATGCTGGGTGTTTAGGGTCAACCTTGCTTCAGGAGCTCATGATTTCCAATGTGAGCCACATTCCCCCAGTGCTGTCTTTATGGTGGAGAGGTCAGAGGCAGAACACCTGGCCTATGTTCTGTTAATCTGTTAATGCAATAGTAATCGGTGTATAGCTGTGAAAGTCCTTCTCTTCTGTCTTTATTAAAAGCAATAGTTCCATTAAGTCTTTGTACAGCTAGTGTTGAGATCTTCCAGGTTAATGAATACAGGCTTTTAAGTATGGCTAATTAAAAATGATATGGTGAACTCTCTTAGAAATCATTAAAGGCCACAACAGAAGGGTGACATAGTCTCTCTAATCTTTGGTTTTCTTTCATAGAGATTGGATCTCATAATCCTAAACATTTAATCAGTATTTCCTATCATTAAGTGCAAAATGTGAGTGCAAATGGAGCCCAAAAAAAGTGTTCTTGAAAAATCCTGATATAACAAGACAGACTCAGAGTTGAGATACACAGAGTTACTTAAAAAATAGCACTGAAGCCAAAAGAATACCCCCAAACAAAAAAAGGTACTGTAGAAGTTATAAACACAGTGAAGGGAAGAATATGTCAATCACAAAGTGATTCTTAGAAGAGAAGCTTGTTTGTTTTTCTGTGTCTAACAGGCCTGGGGGCCAGCACAAAATGGCAACACCTGTATCACCTCAGGCATATCATTAAAATTCAGAACCTAAGTGTCACATCTGTATAGCTGGAATAAAATACTTCTGTGGCTTTTGTAAAATTTAAATAGTCACATGAAAACCCCTTACAACAGACCCTGGCATATAATATTCACTCAATAAATACTTAATATCAAATTAATTTTTGAAAGAGACAAAAATGTAAATTTTTGTATGTGCCCATGCATGTACAGTGCAAAAAGAGTAATCATGCTATTTTGTGATCATATTGAGTACATAGATACATGATAGTCTGATATCATTTGAACCTTAAAACTCTACAATAAATTTCCTTTGTTTAGATTTTATGCTTGCAAAACAACAGCTATGTATGTTAGATTTTAACTGTCAAATTATAAATTAATATTTTGGCCATTTAAACAAATCTCTGTTCCACAGCAATCCAACACTGACTAAACTCATTCTTTCTATGAAGGGTACAAACATATTTCTAATTACTTTAACGAGGTAGGGATGTTTTCAGTGCTGCACCTGAGTACTTAAGGAGAGACCCCCACAATATTGGAGAATGGCCTCACTACGTGATGGTATCACTCTACTGGCAAGTTTGGGTGACATTATAAAGCATCAGAAAGCTTTCATCTGGACCAAATTTTCAGGTCGAGTGACTGATAAAAGAACTCTAGTGGACCAATTTTCCCTTTACCTTCTGTTATTTTCATGGCTTATGTCTCAGCAGCTGAATGAAACTAATTTCTAAATCTAAGACGTAACTCGTGATGTTGTCTATGAGCTATCTCATAAGTACACTTTAATGATCTATTTTAAAATCTGGAATATTATGACCCCTCTTTGGTTCATAACCTGATTCATTCTTAGAAAGGTTTTATTTCCAAAGAGTTTGCTATGTCATTCTTAATTAGCCATACATGCAAATTGTTTGTGTTAATCTGTGAAATCTCAACCCTACTTATGAAGAGACTTAACAGATCTCATTCTTTTAATAAAGACAGAAGAAAAAGAAAGGTAGTAGTTGTGTTTTTATGGCTGTTACATTTATGCTATGAGCATTGCCCTTTTTCATTTGTCACTCTTACTGATACTGTGGTGTTTCTTTGAATTTATAGAACACGGTGATGTAGACCAGGAGACAGCACTAGCTGGAGCACAGGGCTTCACTGGCTGCCTCTCTGCGGTGCAGTTCAGCCACGTGGCCCCTCTGAAGGACGCTCTGCACCCCAGCCACCCAGTACCTGTCACCATTACAGGGCATGTGACAGAGTCTAGCTGTGTGGCCCAGGCTGGCACTGACGCCACATCAAGGGAAAGGACACATTCATTTGCAGGTGACTTAAGACTCTTCTCCTACCCAGTCACCAATCCAGCTTCTCTGCTGGACTTGTGAGAATTTCTGATTTTATTGTTTTGCTGCATTCTTGAGATGGTTTCTGAAAATTGGTTTTATCTGTTTAATTTTCAGTTCTCTTTCTCATTTCTTTCTAGAGTCACAATTTCTTCTTTATTGCAGTAGACATTGCTTAAATTGAAAATATAGGAGATCGCATATCCATTTCCACATTCTGTTTTGGTGTAAAACATTTATGAATTTCTCAAACTATCTTCTTTTTACTTAGCTATACTTTTTGTCTCTTTTTTGTGCCTTGACTGCAGATCATTCTGGAGCAATGGATGATAAAGAACCTCTCACTAATGCAATCAGAAGTGACTCTGCTGTGATTGGAGGTAATGGGCAACATGAGTGGGCTCTATTTTAGGTCTTAATAATGGTGCCTTATAAATTGTCTATCAAGAATCAACACACATCCCAAGCTCCAGACACTGCATCCTGGCAGTGGTTTGCTGTTTAGACTGGATTGTCTTATAGAATCTCCCTAAATTCTTTCTTGACCTTCTTGGAAATTTTCAATAAAATGATTGACAAGTCACACTCAAAGAATAGTTGCAAAAGTGTAATGATGAATCATATTTAGTTTAAAATAGCCAACTGCAAACCCTAGTTAGCTCTGAATCTATTTGAGAAAATGTCATGTTTTGTGGCTTCTTAGACATATCACTGATTCTAGAAAGGATCATGTAAAAAGTATGAAACACCTAAGGTTAAGGTTAGAATGCATGTATTTCATATTGCCTTATGTATGTGCACATTTTAGTTACTCATTACCCTTTCAGTCACATTTTATCAAATGTGAGGTTAACCTACTAAAAACGGTTAGTTGTAGTTTTAAATTGCAAAATTAACACAAGCACTTTTAAAGAACATCTCCCTAGTAGTGTGATGGCAATTTCTCTAAGATATAATTGAATATAATTTATTCAAAACTAATTCCAGAAATAACCCTTTTTTTCTTCTTGATTAATGCTCTTAAGATGCCAATAATCAGATTACTGAAATGTTAAGTGGTTTAGCTTTTTCTCCACACTCTGAATATGATATGGACATATAAAAGTAAATAATTATTCTAACACATTGCTAGATAAAGTGACTATATGCTTGCACAACTTTTATGTGGGGTTTATATTTGATCCATTTGGTTCTGTGTTTTATACTCCTACTTATTAAACATAAACTTTCTAAAGTAATTCGCATTTTGCTTAGTGCATAGTATTGGCCAAATCTTTGTAACATTTGATATTCCTGTTCCTTTTCCTAAAATTAATGATGTGGAAATTAAAGATACATAAAATAGAATTCCCAATTAAATCGCCTGGCAAGAAAAAAATGTTTTTGAGGATTAGTTAAATAATCTGTAGTTTACTGTTAGCATAATCTGTCTAAAAGTAGTGTATTGAACAGTAAAAACTCATTTTAAGACTATAGGATTTACAATGTGCTCAACATTTTTTAACCACCTTGTAAATTTTATTTTTATTTTCCTTAAATTGTCATTTTTTCCATTTTTCATTAGGATATATTCACTGTACAGGGAGGATTCATTGTGACAACTCTAAATAGCCTTACATTGTACGTTGGTTAGATCACCCCTATCATCTACCCCTCAAACCCTTCGCACCTCACTGAAAGCAATGCAAGATGGTTTCATCATTGTATTTGTGCTCAACATTTGAAATTAGGATTCCTAATCAAACAAATTGTCTTGTTTTCAAAATAATGTTTATTCCATGCATTCAGGTTGTATAGATGTAGGTATATATAGATACTGAAGGTGGGTGTAAATATATAGAGAGAATTGTGTAATCAAGCCAATGTTAGAACAAAATATTCAATCTTTAGACTATTGTCGCCTTGGGCAAAGGTCAGATTTACAGAGGTGAAGAAGGGATGTACTGATAAGTCACTGTACTGTTATTCTAGAACAAAAATAAGTTACTCTTCATCTGTAAAATTCTCACTTAGCTCAGATGCATGGGACAGAGAAAGGTAGCATGGAAGTTCTGCCCCTCAGGCCTCACTAGGTCCATGAAACCAGTGTTATATGGTTTTGATCTTCATAGAGTCTGAACTGCAGAAGCAGAGCAGCTGGTAATGGCCATCTAAGCTCAGAAGACCTTGTCTGGACCATGTGCAACTTATTTGCTAAATCACACTATATGGTCCTTCAGTGTGTTACTCCATCTGGTAACATTGTGGTAGAATTTTTCCCATTGTCTAGTTCGTCACAAATTGTACCCAGTATGTAACCACAATCAATCCTTTTAAACATTTGGCTAATACTCTTGTGTTCTAAACTTTAGATGATCTTTTACTTTGCTTAAAAACAAAGTGAGTAGTATCACATGGGAGAATTGACTCACTAAGATACTTCAAAGTGGTGATACAGATGCTATAGAGGGTTTCTGGCTGTCCAAACACAGATAGACAGATTTAGATAGAAAGCTACCCAGTTTCCTTATAAGAACACATTCACAGAATGCTTTGGATACAGCATCATAGAGCACAGTAGCGGGGTTATATTTTATTTAGAATATTTTATTTGTTTTTCACTTATACTTGTTTGAAATAACAGGTGAGATCAAGGTTTTGTTGGGCACAACAGTGTATGAGATAAAACTTAACCCACTTTAAAGGAGATAAATTAGATCATGACTGTGACTGTCTGGATGTTCCATCCAGTCCAATCTAATGGTGATGCTCATTTTGTAATTGAGGTAGCTTTCTCTCTACAATGTATTCCATTAGTTTTTTTTTTTTATACTCAAATTGTTCAGAATACCTCTCTTTAAGTGAAAGATTTTATTATCAGACAATAGACATATTTATAGCAACTCAAATGAGTGTTTTTCTAACATAAAAGGCAAAAATATGTAACAATAGATTAATACTCTAGTGAAAATTATTCTTTACTAATATGATCAATAATATGAAAAGTCACCATGCCAATTAAAATTTTTTTCAAGTTTCATGTATGTAATTCAGTTACCACATTTATATTAGATTAATTGCTATCTTTCTCTGGTAAGGCTGACCTAGCCAAAAATGGGCTTACCATTGTCAGTCATATGATTGGTCACAGAGAACCCACAAACCACATCATCTGCTTAGCAACTACTATGATTGATAAGAACCTTCAAATCTTTGACTTGATTAGACTCTATTACCGTAGAATACATTTACTTTATGTTAAAAAAGTCTTAGTTTTGAAATATGAGATTTGATTAACCTTGCTATTTTCATAGTACTTAATTTTATGTAAAATACTTATATTGGTTGATACCTCCACTTATCACAAGTGTTTAGGCACAAGGAAACTCTCAAACTCACAGTGAATACTATAACTTTCCAGATTCTGTTTTTTTTTTTTTGACATCTTAAATTTCATCATTGATAGTATATGCTGTTAGTTGATTTTCGTGGAGAGACAAATTTGTTTCATTCATTTAAAAAAATATCTTATAGATATGTACATCTGAATAACTATAGTTTTCCTGTTAGTTCATCCTTCAGAATGCACCAGAAGTACTTTATATGTGTATTTTCCACCTCAATACACAAAACACAAAGAAGACTTGTGGTCAAGGGTCAAGATTTAATAACATAAGTAATTTTTACTGCTTCATCAAAGACATCCTAAATGAGCCTGGCTTTTTGCCTGGCAATGCAATGTCCTCTACTCCGTGGACTCAAGTTTGATGTCCTTGCCTTAATTGATGCCAAGTACCAGGAATTTCACCTGGTTTCATTTTATACCACCATGGAAATGTAAACATGGTGAAAAAGGCATCTTAAAATTATTATGAAATCAGTTTTTACTCTGTGAACTACCCCCACAAAGTGTCCTGGGGATAGCCAAGGGTTCACAGGTCACACTTTGAAGAGTGTGTGATGTTAGGGTTAGTAACTATAGGCATAACTAAGATTTGAAGTGCTCAAAACTTTTGTTATCGGAAGCTTCAAAAACCAATATTCCTCATATAGAAATAATTTGAATGTATTTATATATCCATATCTAGGTCTTACTAGTCAGGGTTACTCATAGACATGACCTAATCCTCTTATTGAACAGCTGATTTGAATCAATGTCATTAAATTTTTTACATATTTAGTCATAACAACATTTAATCTTTTTACCATTAATCCTTCTCCTGCATTAGTATTGTTCTGTAATTTTAAAATAATTAAAACTTCTCTGTGTTTACTATGAAGTAGCCACGTGGTCTTAAAGAGTTTAGGTAATGCTTTGTTAACTATGAACACATTAAATAGATCCAGTATAATGGATATTCAGAATAAATAAAGGTGATCCCACAAGGTAGATAGAATTTAGAAGTAAATTCAATATATTGTGATGCTGCTTAAATCAGAAATATCTGATATTTTCAGACTCATAATTTATATCTAGTGGAGGCTTAATTTAAGTAGAAAATAATTTTCTTGGGACTTACTGAGCAATGAAGTCAACACAGTTTTTGTTCTGACAGAAGTTCTGACTGTATTTCTTTTCTCTTCTCCCTCTAGGTCTGATAGCCGTTGTGATCTTTATCTTGCTTTGCATCACTGCCATAGCCATTCGCATTTATCAGCAGAAAAGGTTATACAAAAAAAATGAGGCAAAAAGGTCAGAAAATGTAGACAGTGCTGAGGCTGTTTTGAAAAGCGAGCTTAATATACAAAATGCAGTCAATGAAAATCAGAAAGAGTACTTCTTCTGATTGGCAGCTATGGTTTAACTTATAATGATGACAATTTGTTTCAATAGCCGGGGGCTCTCAGTGGACCAGAGCTCTTCTTACTCTGAATGTACAGGCAATGGATTTGCAGCACTGCCACCTTGCCATGTCCAGGCTTGGGATGGCTCCAGGAGGCCTCATCCAGTGACATACTTCATGTTGCAATCATTCTATGTAACAAGGAACTAGATATCACTGTTAATTTCCAACTCTTCTGATATGACCTAAAATAAGATTAACATGCTTAATGCCTACAGTTTTTAAATGTGAAAACTGTAGTCCTTGTCTCTTTGCTATGTAAAACATAAGTTTTGATAGAAGTAAGATATCAAAATTGGGATATAATGACCGTGCTTTATTTGAGAACATATGCTGTGTTTGCTTTCATCTTCCCATGGTGTTGTTCATAGACCTGGAAATGCTTCTAAGATCCTGTTTGGCTGGTGTTTGCATCTTCAATGGCCAAAAGTATAAAAAGCCCCTTTGCCTTTCTCTGTATTACTTCCAATACATCGATAGTCTGGAAAAATGTTTTGTTGTCTTTGGCTTGTTTGTATTGCTCTTTTTCTGTTTGACTCTTAATGATTTTTTAACACATTTGGGTTTGAGTGTGTCTGACTTTAACTCTAAACATGCAATTTATATGTAAAAAGACTCGAAGTGCAGTGGTTGTCAGTGTATGATGTTTTACCTTTAAAAAGTTTTCTATTTAATTTGTTATCATTGTTTGATGGTGACAGTAGTTAAAACCCCAAGTAATTCTAATTTCCCAAAGGTTGTAAAATGTTTTCAATTAAACATGTTGATATAAAAATTCTTAACACAGCAAAAATTATTTTTTAATTACAACTTAATACCTCGAATTAAGTATATTTTGGGGAATATTTTCCCTAAACCTCCAGTCAGTTGTTTTCTAGGTTTACATTTTTGTTTTTCTAAAATTTTTTTAACCAAGTTTTCTTTGATATCCCATGACTATAGTCTATGGAATATCTTCTTATATAATAGAAACAAAGCGACAAATTAAAGTATAGAGCTCCAGTCTCCCATTCTAACATACCTGTCCCTTTGGGCATAAATTTTGTTTTACAATTTTATTAGCATATTATTGTTGTACGGGGGGTACACTGTGACATTTACAAAAGTTCTTATAGTACATCATAGTTGAATTCACCCCTTCCATCATTCTCCTTTATCCCTCTCTTCCCATTCCTAGAATAGTTTCAACAGGTCTCGGGCATGCGTTTTGCTGTGCACGAATCTCCAGCATATATTTTTTGAGATATAGGGTCAATCATGCTCCATTTTCATAAGATCACTGGACTAAGTAAAGACTATTCCCTCTAAAAGAACATAGCCTATCATAAAACCTATACTAAATCTGTCATTCTAGTCATTTCTCATCTAGGATGATAGAGTTAATTTCTCAAAAAGTATCAAGAACCAATATACCACTAACTAGTCTATTCTGATTAGAGTGTATATATATACTTGGAGATCAAAGAATCATTGATAACTTTACGGAACTGTTACAATAATTAATTTTGTAGCCATGTAAACAGGATGCTTGTATGGAACTATCTTTGAATTCCATAAGCCAATTAAATAACAAAGGCACTTTGTTATCCATTCTCACAACTTCAAGTGCCTCCCAAATAAAAATTAGATTCCTTAGTTTGTAAATAGCAGAAAATTTGGAAATATGTAAATTCAGTATTATTATCATCTTATTTTCCATGATTCCCTGGTGAGCTCCTTAGAAAACCTGCCTGTCTATTCTCATAGCACTATATCCATATTGATGTTTCTGTAAATGCCTGACTAAATCTGAAAGACCTGAATTAGCATAGTAGTTTATGAAGTTCTTATGTTGGTAAATGGCATTTCTTTTTCTAAAATTGGAAGATGTGTCATGGCAAGACAAGGACTTAGCATAGAAATGGCAATGTTTGTTTAATGCAAAGAACAATGCAGCTATCATCAAAGCTCTGAATCTTTTACAAGTGTTCATTCTATTTAGTGGCAGTTTTGACCTCGTTGGAATGTAGACAGGTTTATGGATGGCGACGCCTCATAGTCCTCGGGGGTCTCACTATTATAGGCTGAAGTATGATGCCATCCTAGTACATTGATACATTGTATGCCATGACCTTGACTTCCTGGTTTGTAATTGACGCCTTCCTTTTTTTTCTTAATAAAATGCATTTTTGAAATAAAATGCGGAATATATTTTAAGAGGTGTTGTATAAAAAGTTTAAAATTAGGGAATTATGCTGAATTTCTTTTTCTTAAAACAGTGAAAGGCTGTGAGGTTGTACGCCTTCTTTACTGGTGTGTGTGCATGTGGGTGTGAGTGTGTGTATAGGTGTGTGGGTGTATGTGTGTGTGCACGTTGTGTAGGGTTTGAATCCTTTTGAAAAGGTTTTTCACCACTATTATGAATGCTCAATGAATGCTGCAGTTGTGCATTTTTTCTTTTAAATGAAACAAAAATGAAAAGCAGAAAAATGTTTGTTAATTATAATGAGTGAAGTTTTAGTAGATCTAAAGTTTTACCAGAGAACGATTTGGCTGCCAGCAATGGTTTGTGGAAAGGTCTCTATGTATTTGAATTGGATGATGTCCTTTTTCTTTTCTTCTTCTCCAAGAAGTGTGGCCAATGAATACCACAAGAATGCATAGGTGTTATATGGAGAAATTAGTGTATTGTTTTCTGATTTAAAGCTAAAAAAAATCATTTTGTGATTTCAAATGGAAGAATGAAAACAATGTATAACTAACATTCTCGTTTTAAGAAACTAAACTTATCCAATCTCATTAAATTCAAAGGTATAATATGCAAATAGAGTTCAGTGAATGCGACTTTGAGAGATTGCCAATTTGAAGTGGGGTCACCATTGAGAAATAGTGTCTTAATTTGTAGGAATCCTACCATTGAAATACTCCTTTTCCATCCCAGAAAATATTTTCTTTTTAAAATCCATTCCCAAGTGCCCTCTTTAAACCACATTTAATACTTTCATGTTAGTTAAAAAAAAAAAAAAACACAAGCAACCAGACAACCCCCAAAGCGAACTCAGTCATTTAAAATTATCTCTCATTAGATGGTATTATCTTTCAGAATAACAGCATTCCTTATGGAACTGGAGAGAACTGGCATACTATTTAGTGTGGATAGCTCAGTCTTACAGAGGAAAAGTCTAAGACACAGATGTGTGAACTGATGTTCCCAAGAGGACAGTAACTGTGTATGTGCTATGAATCTGCAACTCCAGCGTCCTTTGGATTCCACATGGTGCTGATCTTAAATGTCTCCAATGCCTAGAATTTTCACAATTATTTATTGGTGTAGGAAAACCTGAGGAATCTTGATAGCCTCCTTGTCCAGAATGACCTATGGTTCTAGATCTTATCCACCATAAGTTTTAAATGAACATCAGCCTTTATTAGACAGGCCATTGCCCTTGATAGATTTGGCTTTCTTTTGAAACTAGTAAGTTTGTGGTCCTTCCTTTGGCTTCAGGATAGACAGTTATAACTGTAGCACATTTAAATAGGCTTTGTGAAATACACAGTGTGTGTTAGATCTGAGTGATTGAGTCATTAAATATTTTCTTCTGATAGATAAGTTAGAAATATCCTAAATGAAAACATGTTCAGTTGATGTTTGACTTTCAAGTCCATGTATCAGCTAAATGTTGACTACCAGATACCTTCAATATGTCCTGCTTATTCTTTTCTTGTCCAAAATCTTCATGATGGAGAGTGGTAACAGAGAAGTCTGGAAACTAAATGCCTATGTGTTAGGGATGTGTGTGGTTGAGGACATTTATATGTCCAAGAAATAGTGGGAAATGAAGATAGAAGGAATATGAAACTTTTGTCATTTAGCATGGTAGGAAGGCTGGAATTTTGGTATATCAATACCTTCTGAGGAGCTTAGTTTTGATGACTTACAAATGAAAATAACTCTGACCCACAATTGTAATGATTTCCTAAGTGTAATCCTATTTTAAATCTCTTGTCATCTTTTAACATTATGCTCAAACATCTATAAAAATGCACAATTATTAAAAATTAAATAGTTTAACAAATCTTACTAGAAGAAATAGCTATCTTTTGCCCGGATTCCTTCCTCATCACTTTAAACTCTTTTAGCTATCAGTATGTTTATAAATAACAAGCTGACACAGATTGGAAAGTACTTTGGGACAGAAATTCCCATGCAAGAAGTTTATTAGGGAATGATGTATAAAACCTGTGGGAGAAAGGTTTACTTGGGATTGAGAAGATGGAGAAGTTGGGTTGTGGTGCCATCATGACAAGGTATCAGCCAACCCTGTTGACATGGCCCTTTACAGTTGTCCTGAGTTGGGTAAAGGGACTGAACAATTATACCCCTGTATAGAAGAATGGATAGTGACTGCCTTTGGAGAAATGGCTCTTTCCAGTTTAGGCAGTTCATGAAAAGTGAGGATAAATTTCTTCAGGATCCAAGGAGAAGAAATTTGTAAGCCCTGAAATAAGGGATATAAGTGGCACAGTACAATATCCCTGAAAGTCCCTTCCTAGCTCCTCTACATTGCTGTGCTTCTCAGATTGGGAGCAGCTACTTCAGGACTCTGGTGAGCCTCATTTCCTGGAAGAAACTTACTTGAGGGAGGAGGATGGAATAAACCACAAATATTGCCACTATATTTTTTCTCTCGGCTTCATCATACACTCATCCTCACCCTCCTTTACCACCTAAGTCAGATCCCCGTATGTCAGCTGACAATACTACAAGGAGTTTGAATCCTCATCTCATGACCTTCTCAAACTAAAGCTGCCATACTTTCACATTTACCATTAAAATTGATCAAAGGAATTCCTGTATACCAAATATAGTCTTCCCTGCCCTGTGGTATCATAGCAGTTCTCTCATTTATTGCTGGTTAGAGACAATACTCCCTGACAAAGTCTTTTACAAAATATCACACCATCCAAAGATCCACAGTACATCAAAGAATGAGTGGGAGAGGGCACATTACCATGCTGATCCTGTCACATACCACACTGCCAGAGGACATCTGTAGACTTTCAATAGGTGGTATCAGTTTTTGTCTTGTAGACAGTAAAGGCAATTCATACCTGAAAGAAGTAATGGTTTCTATCAAGATGAGTCTCTCTAAGGTGGAAGAATCTGGTATAATAAACTAGCCACAAAAGTTTTCTTTGTGTAGAAGGGATCAATTCTGGGGAATGAACACTGATTTCTGTTGCTGACAATTTGAACATTCAGGAGTGGGAGGTAGCAGCTAGGTTCTACAAGATGAGTAGAAACTCATATTGCTTAGCTATGCATAGTTTTAAGGTTTGTTGGTACCAATTAGTCAAGTCATTCTGTCTGTTTGGTTGTTCCATGGTAGCATACACTCTCTGGTGAATAAAATGCTTTTCCTTTCGTACCCACTTCCATATCCAAATACAAGATTCTACCTCAGTCCTCTTGTCTCCCGTCTTCTAAATCTCCTCCTATATTCTTGACAAAGTGACCAATCCAGGGATACCTATCCAAGAGGTCTGCTCATGGCTGGGGTAGGGAGAGACTGTCTTCACCATTAGCTTGTGATGCTACCCTATTTGGCCCTGTAGTAATGCTTTCTTCCATTTTCAACTTGCACCCACATTCTAAATCAACCCATCCAGGCCAAGTTTAGAATTTTCTCTTTTTCAGGAGGAGGTAATATGGGAGCCTTCATGCAGCCATAGGTGGGAATCAAGGTAAAGGGGCTGTTGGAAAAGTGGGTAACATGGGATAGGCTACTTCTCTGTGCAGCTTGCTGCTTGTGCTTGCTCATGCTGAGCTAGGTGCAGCATTTACAATTCATGGCGGCTTTCTACTGTACCTAATTAACTATATGCTTGGTGAGTCTGACAAAATCCAGCTTATTATAGGCAATTCTGCCCACATTAGTGTCCCATTGTAAGGCACTTCATCTCTAGTTGGGCTAAGAGACTTTTTAGAAAGTTGTATATTTCCCTGCTGAATAGCTCCAGAACCCTGAATTTTTTCAAGACAGTAGTCCAGTGGGATA